TTCCCTTTACAAATTATTTTGTTTAGCCATAAAAGTGTGTGTGTGTGTGTGTGTGTGTGTGTGTGTGTGTGTGTGTGTGTGTGTGTGGTGTGTGTGTGTGTGTGTGTGTGTGTGTGTGTGTGTGTGTGTGTGTGTGTGTGTGTGTGTGTGTGTGTGGTGTGGGTGCGTGCGTGCGTGTGTGTGTGTGTGTGTGTGTGTGTGTGTGTGTGTGTGTGTGTGTGTGTGTGTGTGTGTGTGTGTGTGTGTGTGTGTGTGTGAGTTTACTGTGACTTAACTGACCGTCCGAGGGTCCACAGAAGGGTAAAAGAGGGTGACTTTTGTGTTACTTATTTTTGTTGGTATTCTAGTAACGTACACGGTGTTCTATTAAAGTATACGTACCAATAGTATTTTGTTGTTTAATGAATCCCAGTCAAAAACATCTTCGGACTATCATTTGATCAATACTTCATTATGTAAATAAATATTGCGTGTCAGTTTTTTTTCGATTGGTTTCTCGACACAAGAGTGGTACTACGCGTTCCGTCGGTCGTCCTGTAATCCCTAGGAGAGAAGGGATGTGTGCCGTGTGTTTGTCTTGTTTTTGTTCACAATCGGCTATAGTCCCTATGCCATTTACGTAACGACGAAGTACGAGACAGTCAACAAGTTGTAGCAATGGAAGAGATGGGAAGACGAGGAAAAATAGGCAACATCAACTTATAGACGACGGAACTCGTAAAGACTGTCGGACTTTACCACGTTTATTCTCAATATTTGTTTACTCTTTTCCAAACCTGTAGGAGGTCTGCTTAATAAACTAATTACTGAGAAGTATATCCTCTACCTTGTAATCGATTAGACGTACAACACACACAAGAGAGATAAAAAAAGGAGAGTAAAACAAATAAGATTATGTAAAAATTAAAAAGCATTGTGAATATTTATTTCGTTCAGTAACTCGTTTGGAATACCAAAAAATACCATAATAATTTTATCTCCTAATACCTTTGAGAACCCTTAAGACTATAGACACACGTTTTACCTAGAACCAAGAAAATAATATTCCACCAAATCATATTTAATACAAAGTAACTTTATTTAATGTTATTATAACACTTCAACCTGTGTTTAACCAGAGTGATAACGTCTAATCGAAAATTACAAGAGAAAGGATATACTTATCAGATAATTTAGTAATTAATAGCGAGACCTCCTAAACAGGTTTGGAAAAAGTAAGTACAATAATTGAAGAATAAAACGTGGGTAAAAGTCCGACGTACTAATACGAGACTTCCGTCCGTCTATAAGTATGATGTGCCAATTATTTTCCTAGTCACTATCAACCTCTACCTTCCATTCTACAACTTTGACTGTCATCGTAACTTCCGTCGTTCACAGTAAATTGCGGGCATCAGCGAAGGACCTATACCAAGATTGTGAAACAAAAACAGAACAAACACACCGGGCAACACCATCCCTTCTCTCCTATACGAACTATACCAGACGACCGACGGAACGCGCTAGTAACCACTCTTGTGTCAGAAAAACAATCGAAAAAAAACAACTGACCCCACAACACCCGCAATCACAATATTATTTATAAGAAGTATGTGATCAAATGATAGCCGACCAGATGATTTATTGACTAGGTCTCTCCACTTAAACAACAAATACTACTACATTCTCGGGTCCCGATACCTATTACACTCACACGAACACCGTGTGGAGTCAAATGCTTCAATATACACCACATTCAAATAGATATAACCCATGAAATAATATTATAAATATTTAGGGATTGAGATTGTGAAACCTCACTAAGTACCTTTGTGTTAATCTGAACAATAAACTGGACTGGTCGGATCACTGCTGCTATCTACAAGAAGAGACAGAGCAGACTGTATCTGCTGAGGAGACAGGTATTTTGGAGTGCATGGGGCACTACTTCAGACCTTCCATGACTCTGTGATGGCATAAGCAATCTTTTATGCTCTGGTCTGCTGGGGCTGCAACATCTCAGCTGCTGTCATGAAAGTTACATGTAGTTTGGTAA